TATGTTGTCAATAGTTTTTAGTAAATTACACAGTTCGGTGACTTCTGCCGATTCCAATTCAGGCAGTCGCAATTTAATAAGGTTCTGCAGCGGCGTAAAAGCTTTTACATTGATTTTCTGTCAGAATGACGATGGAATGAAAAAACGTCAATAAACATATGCGGTGAGCTTTGGAGAAACGAAAGCTTTTATCATACTAGTGTTGTTATTAAGTTATATGTGTACATAAAATCATATTCTTGTATTCAAGGTACATCAGTTTACCTGGGTATTGAACCGTTAAACTCAAAAACTTTACTGGGTTTTATTTTTAAAAGTAAAGGGGCAAAGTGAGTAAATGTGTACTTCTTCTTGTATATGCGCGCATACTTATCAGTACTATAAACACGCACACAATACGCACCTTTCCGAAATCATTGAGATCCAGTTTCAGAGATTGTAAGCCGTCTAAACCCTTGAACGTGTCATCATATATTTGGCTCCAACTGCAATTACGACATGCAAACTTTCGTAGAGTCGACTGAGTAAGAAAGGGACCGTCACTTCTCAATACTATAGTGTTGTTACTTATATCCAGTTCACTTAGATCGGTGCCTAAAAACGCGTCTGGCTCAATGTGTGTCAGTTGATTGTCAGTTAGCCGAAGTCGTTGTAAATATTTCAATCCTACAAAGACCTAAAATATTTTCCATTTTTACTGTAGACAGACTCAGTACTGCATATAGTATACCTCTTTATTGATCGTTTTCAATTTATTACCGCTCAAATTGATTTCACGAATTTTAGTAATATTTGAAAAATCTTCCGCATGCAGTTCCGCGATATAGTTCTCACTTAAATCGAGGAGAAGAGATGTGGCCGGCAAATCCTTTGGGACTTGTGTCATTCCAGCGCCATTGCACAGTATATGTTTGTATTCTTCTAAACAAAGGCAGGCTTTGGGACAGCTTGGCTCCAGCACATGATTACTGCGTGGATAACTGTATGATGATATACTAAATAATGTTTTTGATTTACTTGTTGTTGGTATTGTGTTAGCCACAGTAGACGTTGACATTGAATGGTAATCTGGGTTAATGATGTCTAATGTAATTTTCTCTGCACTTCGAACTGTTTCGCTCTCAACATAATAATCATAGTCATCAGGATAGTCATCGTATGATGAGTTGTGATTTAGTATCGGAGGTGCAGCTTGCGTATGTTGAACACTAAATAGTTGGAAAACAGTATCAATACTTAAATTGGATGTTTAATGTTTGAGTTTTGAAGAAGAAGAAGAACGCCAAACACAAACAAGCCAAAAGATGACGTTCATTGTTGTTGTTGTAGCGGCTACTAAACCCCGCACAAGTCGGCTCATCCGTCAACAACAACACGACGTTCATTCATTCATTTGTGTGTATGTATGTATGTATGTATAAAGTATATTGCATGTATTAGGCTTAGAACTAGACTTCCGCCATTTTTATCCTATGTATCATCTTGGACTATAGATTCTGATTCAATAATCTACAAAATTTTTTAGAAATTTCCATCGAAGGTTAGAAGAAAATGTTCAAAAAATTTAATTGTGTAACTATAATGGAAATACTTATGTACATAGATGTACATACAAATAAAATTTAGCCAAATTTTTTTACTGCATTTACAAAAACAATTTGCTGTTAATATATTAGAAGTTGTTAAAATTGAAAATCTCGTGGAGTCTATTTAGCTATGCGTACCTTTTTGTTGAAACATTATACAATTTCAAAAAGGCACTTTCGTCATTTATTTTATAGGATTTAACTCATTTTTGCAAGATATACTTACATACATACATATGTATGTGCGTACAAACAAAAGCCATCTATCGGTTTTTGAAGTCTGGTATGAATTAATTAAGAGCATTGAACATTTAAATACATATTTGCCTAAACATTTATCTGCTTTTGTATAGCACATAACAGTTAGGTTGTAAAGGTGTGACCTCATTTTACATCAATTTCCTCCCTTAAAGGAAAGGTTTTCTGTCCGAGCAGAAAATCGCAGATACATACATACATATTTTGAAAGAATAGAAATCTTAAATAGGTTGGTTTATATTGCGTGCGAAAAAGTATAAAGACTCTTATTTATTGTTTTCGTCTTTAAGAGGGTTTGTCTAAAGTGATATCAAAAACAGATATATGTATGTATTGCCATTTCGAAAGATAAAATATCCTTTAAGCCATTTATCAAATAAAAAAATAAACTTATTGATATTAGGTGGTGCAACCTTGTCAATTTTCAAGCTTGTGATTTATTTTATATACAAAAAAAATCGGTACTGTGTTTCCATTTTATTTTATTTTAAGACTTGCACCAAAATATTTCGGAAAAATATTAAGATTTACGTGAGCTGGACCGATGTTCCACTGATACCTCATTGGTAGTGTTGCCGCGAATTCCTTTAAAAAAGGGGCTAAAGAAGAGCTAAGAAAAGTCGTTGGGGCTAAAAATGTTAGCTAAAATTTTTTACTTACATATACATATATACGTATACACGCAAACATTTTCAATAAGTAATGGTTGGTATAGAAAAACAATTAACTCTGGAAAAAAAGTTAATATTTTATCGAACCAAAGACCTTTTTGTATAAAAGGGGAAATATACGACACCAGCTTGCTGGCTCCATCAAGTGAGCATCAAAAATCTCATTATTACGATTCCGTTGTACAAATTTTTTAAATATTTGTATGCAGATTTTTTAAGCTTAAACTGCGTTGTCATCTGAGGGGATTTTTTTTTCAAAAATTCTTTAAGAAATTATGCATTTGTATTCATAAATAACTCCATTTTCGGAGGTATTTTCTCATCGGTCCAGCTCAGGCAAATCTTAAAATTTTTCCTAAATATTTTGGTGGACGTCTTCAAATATAATAAATTTTGTAGTCATGGAGGAAAAACCGCAACTTATTTTGGTGATGCAGTTTAATGTACAGATACATACATGCATACTTATGCAGATGTGTAAGATCACACCTTATCTTAATATAGAAAGGCCTTAACCCATTTTCTTTTTAAATTCAGCCCTGTACAAAGTTGGGTAGATTACTTTAGAAAGGTCTAATAGCATTTTGAAACATAAGCTACATCAATAAATTAGTTTCAGTGTTTATTAAAACCCACGATTTTGAAAAAATTCCCAACATAAGAACTTTAGTTTTTTTAAAGTTTTGTGACTTTCTATGTCTCATATGTATGTACAAAAACACCCCATTTGATCTAATTTTTTCTTGCTCACACCTTTTTTTCGCCTGCACTTCACGTGCTTCCTTTATACGATTTTATAAACGCAGGTACTCACGTCATCAACTGGGTTCTCCTCAGGATATTATTATCTCTTACGACTGAAACGAAAACGAACGCTATTGTGTGACACTACCAAGTTATGTATATATATACATAGTATATACGTACATTTTTATGCGTTTGTATGTACATATGCATACTCACGGCAGCCTTTTAC